GTCTGCACACCCCCTGGTCCTGACTATGGCATCCCAGCCACCCTGGACCTGGCTTGCTCCCAGGCCCTCACATGGACCATGCATTGTACACACACATACACACACACACACACACACGGCCTTCCTCCTGGTCCTCCTCAGCTGTGACACCCAGGAGTGACTATGTGTTTGTGGGTGGTTACTGGTGGAAGGGCTGCCGTTTCCACTGGCCTCCTGGCTCTAGGAGCTGAGCAACACATCTGCTTCAGCTCGACCTGCTTCTCCAGAACCAAGGGCAGTTTCTGGCTTGTGGTAAAGACTCAAAAAGCACCTATGGAGGAAGGAAAGGTTGAAAAGAAGGCTGAGGGCCACCCTCTGACTGAGGGGATACAGGCAGGCCCGCCCAGGCCAAAGGCTGAGCTAAGCAGATAATAGAAGCAGAACCAACAGGTTAGGTTCCCAGCCAGCCACGGTTACTGCACCAAGCTTTCCTCCTCTGCCTCTTCCTGCCTCTGCTTTTCTCTATCACGTCCCTTTGCTGCCTCTCCCCTCTTGTCCCTTTTCCCTGGTCCCACTTTATTTATCTGTTTCTTGCTGTCGTTTTTGTCCTGCAAGGCTGACTGCCCAGAACTAAGGTATGGTGGGAGGAAGGCCCTCCAAAGGCCCACCTCCTGGACCACGTCCACTTGGTCTGGAGGTGGAGGGGGCAGGCTGGGCACATGTGCAGATGTCGCCTCCTCCTGGGCTCGGGGAGGAGGAGGACACCTTTGCCCTCCTCAGCCCACTGCTGATCCATGTCCTTCTCACACCTGCTCCTCATTCCTCACGGGCCCCGGTGGCAGTGTGGCCAGGAGGGAGCAGAGGAAAGAGGGCAAGGCTGGTGGCTGCAGCAAAGGGATCTGTGCCGCACTCACAGCACCGCCCCCGGGCCATCTGGTGCCCCAGCCCGGGCGGAAAGGAGTGGGATGCAGGCAGTGGAGGAAGAGGACTGTGGCCATTTCGTCGTCTCCCTCCCTTCGCCACACCACCCACCCTGCATAAGCAGCCAAGCCCAAGGCTTGCCAATGGGGGATGGGGTGGGGACACACAGTGGATTCAACATCCTTGACTTGGTCTCAGCGAAGTCTAAACCTTGGAATAGGCAAGGAAAGGCCATGATCACATTTCTGTAGTTCTCTTGAAGGGGCTTATAAGATTTTGACTACAGCAAGGGAGATGGGGAGGGATGGGCAGACTCACATCTGGAGGAGTCCAGGCCAGGAGGTGCTACTGGGCTGCTCTTAGCAGGGCAGGGAGGCCTCTAGGAGGACTGGCAGAGACGGCCCATGCCTGCTGCCGACCACTGCCCGTATTCTCCAGCCCGTATCACTCCCATCCCATTGCTCACCCCAGTGTTGCCTTCCTGCTCTCCACCCCCATCACTGGACACTGAATGGGCTTAAATGCTAACACCTCTGGCCTCCCAATAGTGCATCCTCACAAGGATGCTCTCTTGCAGGTAGTAAGAAATGTTCGGACCCCACAAGGAAACCACCAGTCTTTTCCATGGTTTCAAACAGGTTAAATTATTTACCCCGAGCTCCAGGACTGGAGAACCCCAGGAAGAAATGTGCTCCACCATGAAGAGGGGCCTGCTTGTTCTGAGCCATCCTCAGACTGAGCAAAAGTTGACTGTGGATGGGAAAATGGGGCTGGGAGCCCCTGGGGGACACAGAAGACCTGGCCACTAGTTCTGGGTCCCCAGCTCCTTTGCTCCAGAATGACCCAGAATAAGCCAAGACTTCCCAAGACTTGGTTTCCTCCTCTGTAAACAGAGGGTGTGCTAAGCTCCTTCCCTGACTTCCATGCCATCTCCGTGTGCCCCAGGCACTTGGACCCCCAGCAGAGGGCATGGGCAGGCATCTTCCTGTCAGATGTCACAGCCTTGAGAGCAAGCCATGTGGGCATGGGCAAAACAGCAGGCACCACGTCTGTGAGTGTAGTTCCCATCAGCAGCCCCAGTGCTGGCAAGGGAAGCTTGGGTCCACTGGCCAGAAAAGCAATGGTTCCAGAGCTCAGAGAGCTCTGGTCAAACGGGGCTGACTGTTCTAGCTGCATGTGAGTCTCAGCTCCAGACCTGGCCTGCTGTTCCTGCAGGACCCAGCTAAAGTAAAAGACTCTGGCCTGGCCAGTGTGGCTCAGTGGTTGAGCGTTGACCCATGAACCTGGGGGTCACGGTTCGATTCCGGGTCAGGGCACATGCCCGGGGTTTCAGGTTCAATCCCCAGTAGGGGCTGTGCAGGAGACAGCCGATCCATGACTCTCTAATCATTGATGTTTCTATCTCCCTCTCCCTCTCCCTGAAATCAATAAAAACATTTTAAAAAAATAAATTAAAAGATCCTGACAGATGTCATGAGACAGAAAAGCAGAAACACTGAATTCTGTTGACCATCGGCCCAGTGGTGCCAGTCCTTCCCTCCTTTCTGCTCATTGGTCCTCATGGAGCTGGAGCTTTCAGCACAACAGCTCTGTCATGCTCCTAATCGTGCTATGACTTGAGCTACAAGACAGCCAGTGATCCTCCACCTGTGACACTCGTGAGCAAAAGCCCATTTCCCATGGTTGTATTTACAGAGATCCAAGAGCAGCTTCCTTAACAGTCTTGGAAGCCACGGGTCCCTCCATGTCACTTGTGTGGGCCCCCATCCTTCTCTAAGACTGCTACACCCCTCCCTCTGCCTGCAGGAAGCTGAGAAGCTGATGTGCCCTCATGAGGAGGCTGCCGTGACCTTGGTGGCAGGACACAGGACCCAAGCTGCCAGTCCCCTCTGCCAGGGCTGATTCCCACATGAGCATTGTCAGGCACAGCCTCCCCCCCCCGGACAGCCTCCCTGCCTCTGAACTAGAGCAAGGGAGGTGCTCAGACTAGATGTGGCCTGCGCAGAGTGGATCTATCAGACCAAATGTGGCCTGGGCAGGGTGGATCTATCAGCAGAACCTGCCAACCTGTTTTCTCATTACGAGGAAGCATGACCAGGGAGGTGGATCTGCTCTTAGCTAAGTGACAAGGCGCCTGTTCCAACTCCAGAATCAAACTCTTCCAGCCCCTCAGGAAGATGTGCCAAAGGTTCTTTCTCCTTGGCAGCAACACCACTGAAAGCCAACATGGGAAAGAAAAGGTTCTGCATGGAGACCCCGGCACAAAAGTGCATTCACCAGGTAAGAACCTGCAGAACTAGGTCAGCATTTCCCAAACTGGTTGCCATGGAACCACAGCCCTAACGTCCTATGAGAGGGAGTCTGGGAAAAGCTGCCAGCTATAGCCCTGCCTTGGAGCCCCATGTGCCCTTCGGGGTGCTGAAGGCCCTGAGAACCTCGCTGCAAAGAATCATTCCATTTTTCCAGCCCGGCACGTGCCTAAAGTACTGGGAGATCTGCTCTTCTGCAAACAGTGTGAGTCTGCAGCAAGTTTCAGGCCCCTTTCCTCCTGGCCCTGAGCCTCGGCTTCCTCCCAGCAGTAAGGCAGATGGACCAAATGTGGCCAAGGTCCTCCCACTCTGCTGTTTTTCCAGGCACATTCAAAGGCTGGCTCCCTTCCCACCTCGCCAAGATCCTTGGCTTGGAGGAGCCCACTGTGTGGTAAGGACTAGGATGCCCACCAGGAAAATGGTGCTACTGTATGGGGCTCTCCCTTGATCTCTGCCCACCTCACCCAAAGTCGTTCAGGTCCTGCAGCTTGAGTGAGCATCTCAGGAAGGGGAACCCAGAGGGCAAGGCCAGCACCGGGAGATGCCTTGAGTGGCATCTCTCATCCCTGTCATGACTCCCAGCTCCTGTGAGACCAGGTGCTCTGGCTTCTCCCTGGCAGAAGGCACAGGTGAGCTGCCTTGGCCTTAACCACACTGTTCTCAATACCGAAGAACAAACACTTACCTAACAATCAGGGCAGGGACGGGCCGTTTCTAATCCCAGATGTAATGATCACGAGTGTGCACGCCTCCTCAGGAAGCCCCCACACTCCAGGAATGACTCCAAATGCACTGAGTCATCTCCCCACACCAGCAGCGCCTTCCTCGGATTCTCACACTTACCTCTCACAAACCACACGTCCCACACCCACAGCACCTCATGTCACAAATAGCCCCCGACCTGAGAACAATTATTCTCACTTATCCCCCACCCACGTGGTCCAAACGGCTCCTGCTGCTGATAATTCCAGAGCAGCCAGCCTGTATCTGCAGTCAGCCACTCTCCATCCTGCCCACGGGCAGGGCTGGGCGTAGGGAGAACCAGAAAGTCCTCTGGGTTGCCCCTGAGGAGAGCGAGGAAGCCAGCAAATCCGCTCAGTTCATTTCAAAGCCATGGCCCAGGCTCAGCTAGTTCACTGGAGCAGCCAGCCTCCAGGAGTATGGCTGAGCATCCCACAGCAACTCAACACATCCTGAACAAACCAGGGTGGGGCTGTAGAGCTAGGGCCCTCGGGGGCAGAAAGAAGGCCAGCTCATGAAAATGGCCCCAAAGTGGCTTCTTGGTGAGTGTAGGACACTGTCACCCATTGGCCCCAACCAGGGTCTCTATCCCAAGGTTGTTACTTGGGATGGGCAGCTGCTCCACCCCAGCTAACAAACCAGAGCCCCGGAAGGCAGTTTCCCGCCTCCAACATTTTGCTCTCCTTCCAGGGCCCACTGTCAGGGAGAGAGGCTGGCCTAGGGCCCTCTTCAAATGAGTATCCACAGGGAAAAGTTGTCCATGAGACTGTCTTTGGTTCTCAACGCCATTTTCGCAGGTCAAACTTGGACCAGGTAAGAAAGCATCTCTGCTCTGGGACTGCCCAAGCCTTCGGGAGGTGCCAGAATCCCTCAGGAGACCAGGGCCAGGCCTTGCTCTCCGTTACCATGTCTGGAACCAGAACAAAGCCCCAGGAAGACACAGGCAGGTGGCCAAGGTAGATGAGAGGAAAAGAGAGTTGGTGACAGAGTGGAAGGAAGGCAGGGAAGGCGTGGGAAGGCAGGTGGGGGGAGCGGCGCAGAGGTGGTTACCTGGGTGAGGTGAGGGTTGGGGTTGAACCCACACTGGTTGCAGACCTTGCTGTGACACTGGGTGCAGGTGTTGAAGTTTGGCTGGCTGGGGGTCGACGTGAGGTCCGAGGTCTTACATATGGGACACAGCGTGCTGCTGGGAAGGGGGGCGATCTGGGGGACGGAGTAAGGTGATGTGGGGGTGCTGCCTCTGTCCGGTGACACAGAGGGGGACCGCCCTGATCTCTGTGTCCTGCTGTCTACCTGCAGCGTCCTGCGGGGACCATCAGCCTCCTGGCCTGCTGGGCCCTGTGCCCTTGTCTCTCGGGGGCTCTCATGGCTGGGAGCAGCAGCAGGAGCCTGCTTCGGGGTTGGGGAAGCTGCTCTCTGGCTACCCAGGGGGTCCTTGGGGTCCAGTCTCCTGGAAACGCTGAAATGAAATTGAAAATGACTACGTTAGAGACACATCTTAGAGAAGCAGCCTGCAGGGGCCTCTCCCAAGCCCCATCACCACCCTCTTCCTACCCAGCGGCATCACCACAGCCACGGATGGCTGAGTGCTGATTGTGCCTGCACTCAGCCCTGACAAGCATCTCCCACTTGAACCCTCAGCACCAGGCCATATGGTAGGATCATGAGTGTGCCCTCTCACATCCTGATAAAGCACAGATTTTGACTCAAAAAATCTAGGGTGGGGTGTGCATTTTAAAAAATCCTAAAGTCATGCCTCTGTTTTGGTCTGCAGACCACACTTTGAGTGCCAGGGCTCTAAATCCATACATTAGAAACACCTAGGGCGATTTAAAATTTCTGATTCCCAGATGAAACCACAGACAAACTACATGGGAGTCTGTGGAGGCAGGATGGTGGCATTAGCATTTTTTCCTTCCAAGATAGAGCTCAAATTCAGAACTACTGCTCTGGCAGGTCTGCTACATTCTAACGTGTCCCCTTCAGAGGCCGACCCCAGATAGCTGGAGAGGGGTGGGGGAGGCACCTCAATACCTACTTCATGCTATCACAGACAAGAACAAAGACCCCTTCTTCCTGGCAGTCCTCCAGCAGGCCTGAAGCCAGACCAAGTCCATCAAGATGAGTGAGTGTTACTTTTCCGTTAGCGCAAGGCTGGGTGGGATTGGAGTTCTAGGACCCAGCCCTGGAGGAATCACAAAGGGGAGTCCAATGTGCCTGACCCCCACCTCCATCCTGATGTTGGCCCAACTGCAGCAGAGCCAGCAGAGTTGAGTAATTCAATGAGGTAGAAGGCAAGCCATCAGGCTAAATTCAATTCTCTTACATTCCTTCTCTCTTGACCCAACTTAAGTTCATTTCTGCCAATTTTTCTTTTCCAATTTGAAAGAAGCTGAGCACAAAAAAGCCAAAGGCAATGCTTTCTATGGCTTCTCTGAAATTCCATTCTTGCTTCAGTCTATATTCATTTGGGTAGCTACTGACACCCAGGGGACAGGGCAGACTGGCTAAGAGCCACTACGGAGGCCCAGCCACAGCTGCCTGCAGAGCAGCCCGGCCTGGCCCTTCTGCCCTTGCAGGGTCTGGCTAACAGGCAGAGATTCTAAGTTTGCTTCCCATATGAAGGCCATCTGCTTGCCAAAAAGACTCAGGAGCCAACTGGTAGGACATCTTGGGATAAGCCATTTCAGAGGGGAGAGGTCCAGAAGCCCACAGGGGAGGCCCACTCCAAGACACTGAAGCTCTTCCTCTCTTCTGGGAACTGCTGATGGAGACACACCTTGGTCTAATAAAGACTATTCCAGAAAAAAGAAACTCTACTAAATGTCTATCAAATGTTTCTTCCATCAACCAAGAGCAACCTACATTCATCCATCCGGTTTCACATGCCTGCGCTTTTTCCTTCAGTGGGATAACCAGAGCCGGGTCTAGCCCCTCAGGGTCATCTCTGCCACCAGCTATGAAGACCAGTATGGTGGTGGCTGCAGCTTCTCTGGCCCACTCTCAGAACCTGGCACTAGGGCCTCTCAGTAGACTAATTTCTGTGTATCTCTAAGAAATATTCACACTTGGTTATTCCATAGTTCCTTTTTTACTTAAATTATTTGGGGCTGTCATTTAGAAGCAGCCCTTGAAAGCTAGTCAGAAGCTACGAGAGCCCTTAGAACCTGTGAAGGGACTGCAGCACTCTCTCAGGAGTGCGAAGTCCGAGGTTTCTTCTGAGAAATTTAGCAATTTCTACTGCATCCGTGTTGTCTGATATGTGACAGGCAATCTTTTTTTTAAATCCTCACGTGGAAGGGAAGGGAAGGACAGAGAGGGTGAGCCCAGAAGCTGCAGGTGCCCATCCTGACACTCAGCCCTCCCCTGCAGGAGAGAACTGCAGAAATGACCCCTGGAGTCCTCTCCAGCCTCTGGCTGCACCCCCAGCCCCACCACAGAAAACCTCTGTGGATGACAGAGGAGGCAATGCCAACAGAGCCCTTACCATGGGCCCCACTGTGTGCAAAGCATCTGTCACATATTAACTCCTTTAAGCCTTATAGCAAACCCATGGGGTAGCAAATCCATGGGCTAGGATCCACTTTGCCCATTTTACAGATAAAGAAACAGCCACACATAGAAGTTAAGTAACTCACAAAGCCATCAGGACTTGCAAGTAGTGGATCTGGGATTCCAATATCAAGGCCACCTGCCCCTGTCCCTAACGACTATCCCACCCTGCCTCTCTGGGGGAGCACAGTGAGGCTGTAGAGGGCAGGAAGCATTGCAATTTGGCTTCTTTGTATTTTATTTCTTTTTCTGAAAAGCTGTTTAAGTGGATGCTCCCTAAGAAGTCTCTGACATTTGGCTCCCCAGTGTAGCCCAGGCCCCAGCACCATGCTTGGCACTGAGTGGGCACTCAGTAAGCACAGCAAAGTAAATGGAAAGATGTGTGAGCAGTCCAGTGAGCTCACAGAGTGGGGAAGACACATGATTTAGTTATGACCACTTCACCTGGAATTTGCCCAGCAACACTGAGGCTAATTGAGAAAACCAGAGGTTCATTCGTTCATTTGGGCATTCAGTCATCCACGAACACTTACTGACCCTGGGCTAGCTTCAGGCCCCGTGATAGGTATTGATGGTGTCAATGGATTATGTCTCTTACAATGGAAGGTGGGTCCTTACAGGTGTTCACTGTATTGTTATCCTTACATCTTATACATATTTTATAAGTATTCTTTTATTCTTTATAAACACCTATTCAATATTGAATTAAAATGAATTTTTAAAAAGTGAATCAGACAGGGATCCAGTCTTCTGGGAGCCTCCAGTCTAGAGTGGAGACAGGTGTGCAAACAAATCACTGCAAGACACACCTCCACACGGTCCAGGGTAGGGGCTGAAGACTGAGAAGGCTTTGAGGACAAGGCAACATCTAAACCAGGTCTTAATGGATGGGCTGTCTTCCGGAGGTGAAAGGGGACAGCACACGCAAAGGCCCGCAAGCAGGACAGAGCATGCTCGGTCTGCATGGCAGTGCGGGGCAGGCAGAGCCTGGGAGTAGGCGCGATTTCAGCACCGAGAACAGCTCCTGGCAATAGCATGCGCTTCACTGGGAAGCTCAAAGTTGATATGGCAAAAGCCAGGAGAGCAGGGCCTCTAAACTTTTCAGACAAGGCCGTGCTTGGGTTCTGTGTCAAGGAAATGGTGGAGGCAGTGAAACAGTGAGAATAAGGCAATAGCCCAAGAGGTAGTCCCCGGAGTGAGAGGGAGGGCAGGCTCAGCAGAGGGTATTCTGGCTTGAGGTCCAAGGAAGAGTGGTCTTTTTGAGTGAGATGGGGGACCCAAGGGGAGAAGCCAATTGGTGGGTGGAGAATGGGGAATGAAAGGGAAAAAATCACGAGGTTGGGTTTGGTGTTGTTGAGTTAGTGGTGGGGGGCATCCAAGAGACATCAGGATATGGGTCAGAGCGTTGGTTTCAGTTCAGACAAATCTAGATACTTTTATCTGGGAGAGTTATGGGTTCAGTTAGGATAGAGACCACATAAAGAGAACTGGTCCAGGGAAGATTTTTAGGAAGCACCAACATTTATGGGAGCAGGAGAGATGCCAGAAACAGAGAAGTCAGAGAAGGGAGAAAACACACACACACACACTCACACACTCTCTCACGGTTAGAAAAGTTCCCTGGAGGAGCAGTCAACAGTGCTGTGAGGAAGCCAGGTACCTGAAGGCTGAGAAGCCCAAGAAGCTGTGGAGGAAAGGGCTACACTCATGACAGAGGGTCCACCCATGGCAGGAGACCCAGGAGATCTGTCTGTGACATTGCCCTGGACACAAGTCCCAAGGGGACCAGGGTGGTTGGAGTAACCCCAGGAGGAAAGAGGTGTGCCCCCAGGAGGCCCCCCTCAACAAAGGTCTCCCCTGGGTGGAGAAGCAGGGAAGAAGGAAAAGGGGATGTTCACAGGTAGGACCCACCCCTGCCCCAGGGAAGGCCTGGCTCATGGATATGGACCATCAGCAGTGAGGCCCCTTGAGGACAGTGCTCCTCCCTTGGGGCAGGCTGGGGTAAGGACAGTGAGGGGAGAGGGGCACTGCCATAAAGCAGAAAAGGCACAGGAGGACAGGCAAGCGAGGAAGGAGGGAGAGGGCAGAGATGTGGAGGTGTGGCCAGAAGCTGAGCAGGGGGAGACTAAAATGCCCTATCTAGGGATAGATATTTCTTAAAGATGGACAGGAAGGTAGAGGGTGTAAAAACAGCTGGATTTCTACCAGGTTTCCTCCCTTCCAGGACTTAAGGCTACTGACTTGTGAGAAACAAGTCTTAAGACTGTCTAGCAGGGCAGGAGGACGCTGGGGAGGGGCACACCTCAATACCCTGTGCCTCCGGTCCCACACCATGACCACTACCAGGAGCAGCCCAAGCTGCACTTATCCGAAGCTGGGCTCCTCTCTGCAGAAACCCTCAGGGAAGGCATGAGGACAACAAGCTCCAGACACTGAAGATGCTCCAGCCACCAGGTATGTCTACAAGGGCAGGGCCACTAGGGAGAGATGCGCCTGCCCTGGTCCAGGGTGGGAAGGAGCTGGAGCCGCGCTGGGAGCTGCACACAGGGAGGACCTGCTCAGGCTGAAGCAGACAGGAAAGGAAAGCAGGGAGGCCCGGAGACAGTGCACACTCCAGAGGGAAACGAGGCTGGCTCCGCATTGGCAGCACTCTAGGGCATGGCCCCCACTGCCTCCAGGGGGATATTTGGAAGAGAAACATTTCACACCAATAAATAAATGGCTGTCTTTGTTCACCGGGAAAGAAGAGAACGTAAGGAAGCTGTTTTTCTAAGTCAGAGCAGCCGGAAGAGTCCTACAGCTTCAAACAAGGTTTAATAAATTCAAGGCTGACCTTTCTGTAATAGGCAATTACGGCCGGGAGGGTGCTGCGGGGGGACTGTCCCCTCTGAAACCCGCACCAGGAAGGACCACTGGGCCACCGTGGCCCGTGTATTCAGGCAGAGAGGCAGGGGCTGCAGAACGGGAAGCAACCGGGCCAGGCCCTGGGTCCTGAAGCAACTCTCTCAGGAATGAATGGGAGGACGGACGAAGTTTTCATTTAGAAAAAATTCCAGTTTTCACACAAGAACTCCTGCCTTTTTGATCATGTGTCCCTATCAATAAAACACGTTTGCATATCCTCAATGTATGAATATTTACCCACCAAGTCTGTGCATGTCTATTGTTGATAAAACACACCTCCCCAAATGGGAGAGTTGGAAAGGATGAGACAGGAAATAAATGTGAATAGGCATTTTCATGTTTCCTTCCCGTGCCTCAGCTGACTATTGTGGCTCCCTCTCCTCCTTGGCAAGTGTGCCCTAATTTGGAAGCCACTGCTGAGGAAATTCTTGTTTTTAAATATGCTTTTATTGATTTCAGAGAGAGGAAGGGAGAGGGAAAGAGAGATAGAAACATCAATGATGAGAGTCATTGATCGGCTGCCTCCTGCACGCCCCCTACTGGGGATCGAGTCCGCAACCTGGGCATGCGCCCTGACCAGGAATCGA